TTTTGATCCCATTCCCCACTCCACCCTAGTAAAATGTCTCTGGTCTACAGTTGTTCATTATTATTATTATTTTCTCCCCTGGCCCTTTACACTCCTGCTGTGAGTGAAACCATCCAGTATTTTTTAAAGGAAATATTTTAAATCCAAGAAGAAAGATGAGTATGAAGGAGAGCAAAAAGAAGAGAAAGAGTAATTTAAACATTACTATTTCAATGTACCCTTCATTTCATTAAAATTTTACCTTTCCAGAATATAATCCCCCTTATAAATGTTAATTTATAATATATAAGAATACCATCTCCAGAAGTTTAGCATTTATTAAAAGAAAGTTTATCAAGTTGAAGAGAAGTCCTTGGCTTTAAATTTAATGGAAAGCTGATAGATACTACATACTAACCAGTTTGGAAAGTTCTGAAGACCAAGTATTAGTGGTGAGAATCTTTTCTCTGGGAACCCAGTGCTCATATACAGCACACAGTGCCTGCACGGCTTTCTGACCCTCGGGGGTCTCATCTCCTCCAATCAGTACTCTGTCTGGGTTCTTGAGGTCCTTAATGGCTGTTCCTTCTGCCAAGAACTCAGGGTTGGACAGCACCTGGAATCCCAAGGTCAAGGGAAGTCCAAAAAAAGAATGAATGGTGGGCAACTTTAAGCCATGGATATTTATCAATACATAAAAAGAAACAGATTCTAAAGCTCCTTTTTTTTTTTAAATACCTGTAAATTCAAATTGGGTTTTGTATTTGCATCAAATATTCGACGAATACTTTCTGCTGCCCGCACTGGAACTGTGCTTTTCTCAGTGACAATTTTGTACCCATGGGAATTTTGCACGATGCGTCTAGCACAAGCTTCAATATACTTCAGGTCTGCTGCACGGCCTTTACCCATTCCATAGGTTTTTGTTGGAGTGTTCACCTGATGGAGGACATGAGATTAATAATAGAGTGTGCAAGAGATGGAGTGAGTTCAAGATATCCCCTGGACTATCAAGGAACACGTTAAGTGGAAAGCTAGCTATCATCAGTAGCCCTGATTTAACCCTGTGAGTTCTACAGTAATAATACAGTATATAATTACCAGAAGCAATAGCTCGAAGCATCTGCAGAAAGCACTCAATACATTTTTGTTGAGAAGCTGCCACAGATACCAAGACAGGTACGTTCCAGGCTAAAGCCTAGCGATATAAAGATGAATGAAACAGGTTTTTCCTAAAGGAGTTTATAGTCTGAAATGGAGATACAGGCTTTTATTATCTTGACCTTTAAAGTTAAACTTAAACTCCTACTTTTATTTACAAGCCTATAGCAAGTTTTAAAAGTTTTTAAAATTGCAATAGCACTTAAAAATACTTTCTTGGCTCATAAAAGCTAAACATCTAGCAACTTTAAGATACAACTTTTGTCTATAGTGTAGACAAAGGCTATCAAGTAGAAAGAAATATAACCTAAGCATTTAGTTTTGGCTTAACTGTATCATGTAACCTTGGGAAAGTGTGATTGTCTTTGTCTCAGTGATCTAATTGGAAATTAGGCTATCAGTGTCCTTAGAGCCTCACAAAGGAGTTTTATAAGGATTTGATAAAAATGAAAGTTTTTTTTTAATTTTATAATAATTTATTTTTACATATTTGTGTGCATTTTTCCATCTCAGTTGCAATCCCCTTGGGTTTCCCACCACCAAATCACCCATGTGCCCTTACCATAGTCCAGTGCATTTCAATGAAAGGGTTTTTAAAAAGTTTCCAATTCTATACAGGAATAAGTTTTAAGCCAGTGGTAAAATGAACCAACTCTCTAGAAAAGCTGGTAACCCAATGGAATACTAACCAAAGGAATAAAGTCAAAATAAACCAAAGCTTGAAATTGAATTGAGACAAATGAGAGAAAAACGATTTATATGCATGGAACAAATCAGGAAAAGACATAAATGTGGAAATCGGGGCTCAGTGACGTACAGAATGGATAAGGCTTAGTTAGCATGCTGATGGTGACAAGGTGGCTTTCCCTGTACAGGAGCACTGAGGATGACTAACAGTTGATGCTTACAAAACTATTCCTGTCGGGAATTTGCCTAAAAACAACCTGAGGGAAAAAGAAATGGAATCAGTAATTAAAAAAGATCAGTCCACTTACTGACTTTTAAAAGCGAATGTGTAACAGGGGTCCATTATATTACTGTGCTCATGCTTTGTAGATGTTTGATATTTTCCATATGAAAAGTGTACTACAAGCACAGAAGCTTATTCAGAGAATGATGAGAGCTACTTGGCAGATCCTGTTTTATACATAATAAGTTGCCCAAACACGCACACTAAGTAGTAGCGTGGAAACATTCAGGGCAGCTCAGGTTGGGTGAGCAGAGAAGCAAATGGAAAACCAGCTATTTGTGCCAGACACCGTAAGTTGGACTCTATGTTTGGGAATAGGTCTTTTTTTTTTTTTAAGATTTATTTATTTATTCATACAGAACTGGGGTACAAGCCAGAAATGCAGAGGGTGAGAGGATTCACCAGAGACAGAGTGGGGAGCAGAACAGGCAAGTCAACGAAGTACACTGCTGAGGGGAGCAGCGGGCGGGTCAGGAGAGGTCTGCCGCGCCATGTGGTCACCTCTGGGGCAGCCAGGGATCGAACTCATGCTGAAGTGGCTTAAGCTTCTTAGTGCTGTGCTTTAACCCACTGCGCCACCAGGGAGGGCCCGGGAATAGGTCTTTTTAAAATATTATTTTTACACAAAACTTCCCTATTTCCATTCTAGGTGCGAGTTATTCAAAAGCTGGAGTATGATAACTTGTTGATTTTCTCCAAGTATACGCCAAAATATTTTTTCATTTTCTATGTCTCTATCTTAATGTTCTGCAAACTCAAGTAGGGAATGTGTAGATGAGTCACAAAACACTGCCATCACTTTCTCTGAGGTAATTTTAAGAAGGCTTAAGGGGGACTAGATTCGTAACAGTTTTACCACTGGCTTCACTGCCACTTTTTTTTTTTTTTTAAGATTTATTTATTTATGCATACAGAACTGGGGTATAGGCCAGAGACACAGAAGCGGTGAGAGGATTCACCAGAGACAGAGTAGGGAGCAGAACAGGCAGACTGACAAAGTACACTGCTGAGGGGAGCAGTGGTAAGAAAGGAGAGGTCTGCTGTGCCATACTGGTCACCTCCTTGGCCAGGAATTGAACTTGTGCTGAAGCATCTGAGTCTAGCTTCATAGTGCTGCGCTTTAACCCACTGCACCACCAGGGAGGGTCCTCATTGCCAATTTTTTCTGGGATTTGCATATCCTCACAGCACTGCTTTTGTCTCTTCCATCAAAAAACAACCTCTTATTGAACAATCTGCAATCCTTAACAACATGTATACTCAATTCAGCAGCATCTACTCTATTTACTCTGTGTTTCTTTTCTGTACCTCATGAGACCCAATCAGAGCACATACACAGGCACTCCCTTTACTAGTTAAGGCCCTAAATGTCTTGAGTTATATAAGCCACATAGCTCAGCCACCAACTAGCAACACTGTATCATCACACAGAATATTTATTTTTTTAAAGATTTATTCTTATTTATTTATGCATGCAAGAACTAGGTGTAGACCAGAGGTGTGGGGGAAGAGAGGATTATGTTGATTCAAATATGGGGTTACCACTGTTTAGTCCCAAATGCTGAGCCCATATTTTCATTACAAGGTGCAACAGTTCAATCATTTTATAAGCTAACGGTGTCTGTGGCCAACCCTAACCAACTTACGCAAAGTTCCAACAATCAACTTGAAATGACTTGGAAAATGAAGTCATATATGGAATTCATATTTAATTCATAATTCATATATGAGAACCTAAAAGTTTACAAACTGAATCTCTATACCTCTCAACTAGTAGAAACAATAAATAATGAATATATATATACTATAACCACATCTGCCCATATTATCAGCACTTCCTAATTCCAGATTATCAGGTTAGAACTTTCTCTGAATGTACTTGTTCAGTGGCTGGAAATAACGTGTTTTACCAGATGATTATAGGGTTTCATAAAGTGTTAGAAAAAGTTTAATGATAACCAAAATTCAACTGGGCAACTCTCTGCTAAGCAATGCTGAAGTATATTAACAAGTTTACAATTAAAGTACAATGAAACTTCCATATAGATAAGAATATATGAACATTCACACAACAAAGGAAAGTACTTACAGAAATAAACACAAGGTCAGCTTCTTTAATGGCATCATCAATGTTGGTAGAAAAAAATAAATTTTTTCCTCGGCAGGATTCTACCACTTCTTTTAGTCCTGGCTAAAAAGAAAAAAGAAAAAATGACCTTGTACATGCCAGTCACGTGAAATAATTCAGTAGTATAGAATTATATTTGTTAAAGGGAATGATTATATTATAATAAAGGTCTAGACTTACTCTTAAATAACACTTCTGTAGAAAAGTCAAAGATCATTTACCAAAAACCATTAAGCGTATAACATTAGTAAATAAAGCAAACTTGTTTTAATTGCCATAATTGAAACAGCAGCACTTTTTCTGTTACTTTCATAACATTATTTTACAACACTATTTGTCAGCAATTCGTTTCAATGCTGTGTCACTGTTTACTACATGCCACCTTGATAAATATTAACTCTAGTACCAATACAATTGTCCGAAAATTCAAGGTCTTCTCTAATTTCAAGCAAACATTTGACTTTGCATTGTCATTGTGAATGAAGGTTTTACTCCCTAGAATTCAGACATACAAATGACAGTGAAAAAGTCCATATTTAATCTCTAGGTAGAGTATTTTTTCTAAATCAGTCATTACTAATTCCTTATCATTTAAGTGGTCATCTTACACAAAGAAATACACAGATTTAATGTAATCTCTATGAAAATTTCAATAGTTTTCTCCAAGGAAACAGAGAAAACACTGCTAAAGTTCGTGTGGAACCACAAAAGACCCTCAATAGCCAGTTAGTCAGAGAAAAGGAATAACAAAGGCACTAGGTTTCTAAACTTCAAGCTATACTACAAAGCAATAATAAACAAAATAATATGGATTTGGACTAAAAATGGACACCAAGATCAATGAAATAGAATTGGGTGTCCAGATATAAACTCAACTTTTATGAACAGTTGTAATTTATGACAAAGGAGTTAAGAACAGAAAATGGAGAAAGTCTCTCCTACAACTAATGACAGAAAAATTGGATGACCTCATACAAAAGAATGAAAGCAGAATACTATCTAATACACAAAAATTAATTCAAGATGAATTAAAAAAACTTGGAAGTAAGACCAAAACCATAACCTTCTAAATTAAACATAAGTCTTAATCCTCTTCTACACTCACTTTCTTCCTCAATCTTCTACCATGTGTAACTGTTCTTTAAAAAAGTTGCAATAGCCCTCATATTAGCAAATTTAATAAATATGTCTCAGTCCTTGTTTCTCCTGTACTTGGCATAGTTGACAGCTTACTCATATACTGATCCCTGTATTAGTAACTCATGATCTCATTTAATGGCACAAATTGTGCACACAAATTACACACCCAGTCATACAAGCCAGAAACATGGCTATCATCCTAGATTACTTCATCTCCTTCAACCTTCTTACATAATTAATAATCACATCCTATCGATATTCCTTCTAAGCACATCTCTAATCTGATCTATCTGAATGGAAAGAATAAGGACAGAATAACTTTAAGGAGGCTGGGTACAGAAAATAACACATTAAATACTGTAATTTCTTGTCAATTATCATCTTTCTATCAGTGGTCATGATTTAAATAGCCTCTAATAAGTACTTTCTGACATGAAAAATAACATTTACAATGAAAAACCTATGCCATCGATTTTTTGTAATACTCTTGAAAACAAATAGCTGGGCCTGCCTGGTGGCACAATGGGTTAAAGCACAGCACTCTGAAGCTGTCTGCAGCCACTGCAACATGAGTTCACTCTCTGGCTAGAGAGGTGACCAACTTCTGCCTGCCTGCTGCACCCCTTAGAATTATATTTCAGTCCATCTGCTTGTTCTGCTCCCTACTGTGAATCCTCTTGCCCACCTCACCCCCGCCCCCTTCCCACCTCGGGCTGCTGTATGCATAAATAAATAAATCTTAAAAAAAAAATAGCTATTTGGTTGTATACTTAAAACTGCATTATAGAATAAAGATTTACCAGATGAAAGTAACTGCAAAGGTACCCAAGGTTTCTCTAGAAATAAAAATATTTGTTTGCCTTGTCCAAGGTAGATCACTATAAAATGACAACTAGTAATTCAGAGAGTAGTATGGACTCCAGTTAAAGCTGCCAATAATTTTTCTTCTTTTATATTTCTACTTCCTTGACATTTCACCTAATACTTCACATATTTAGGATAGCCAAGGAAATAAGCAACATATTTTCCAACATAAACTGAAGAAATAAAGATGGAGGGCCCTCCCTGGTGACATAAGTGCTGCGGGTAAGGCGCAGCACTGCAAGCTGGCCGCAGTCTCAGTGCAAATGCGCATGGCATGGCAGACCTCTCCCACGCTGCTCCCCTCAGCAGTGTATCATCTATATGCTTGTTCTGCTCCCCACTCTGTCTCTGGTGAATCCTCTTAACCCCTGCCACCTCTGGCCTGTACCTCCGCTCTGTAGGCATAAATAAATAAATCTTTAAAAAAAGGGAACAAGAGCCTAATATATTTTTGAAAATGCATAATTGAGTCACATGATTTACTGCTTTTATAAACACAACCTTACAAAAGTAATTTATTTTCTTCCAATTTACAAATTTCTTAAGCAAAAATCCTAAACAACTAAGAAAGACATGAAAATTAGAACCTTAAAGTTTGTTACTCGCTAAAAGGAAAAACACTCTTCATGCTAAAAAAATTCCTTTTAGAATTCTAAATAGCCATGCCTTTTTTTTTCATGGCAATGCCATTTTTTAAACCCCAAAGTCAGTGAGGTTTTATAAAAAGAATCCATTCTTTGTAAGCTACTCTAAATAGTGAGGAAACACCATCCTTATCAAGAATTAGAAGAACATCAGCAGTAAATCAGAGCCTGTACTGTGTCTTCTCCTAGTCACTACCTCTGCTCAGAGCACAATCATAATGAATGCTATCATCAGATTACTTTGCCACATGTGGACTTTACATATTTTCAACATTAGCTATTGCCAAACAGTTGTACCAACTTAACATTTTGGCCATCAGTATATAAAATTCCAGTTGCTCCAAATCCTTGCCACCATTTGGTATTGTCAGTAGTGATAATTTTAGTCATTTGGAGGGTGTGTCTGTTTTTGAAGATTAAAGTAGATGGCTGGCAGAAAATTCAACTAAATGGTGGGCTATAAATATGGCTTGCAGGATTTGTAATGACTTGCTGGCCTTTCATGGCATCAGAATTTAAAACTCATCAAGTCACCTTTCCAAAATGTTTTTTAAAATTCACCAAAACCAAATGTTGTAGTAATTATGACTGAAGTATTTAAAGAATTAGTATGGGTGTGTCATCCTGTAGAAGCAAAGGTAAAGCAAACAAAAGTTACTACATACACTGAGATTTTTTTATTTTTTACCCTCAACCTTATTCAAATGAGTAGATTCGTGATGTTGAATGGTTATTACTCTAATACAGAAATCACAGATTTCTGTATTTCATATGACTATAAATATCAGGCATGTATACCTTCCAGATTAAACTGTGTTGAGACTTGCTTCTAAAGATCTAACATACCCAAACACTACAGCTGATAATGTCTTACAAAGAACCAAAACGTCTTGGGAAAAAAATAGGATATGTTAATATTAGATAAAAAGTGCTACCATAAAATTTTCAAATGCTTCTCCATTGGCCTTCAAAAGTATATCACTAATTCATTTTATTGTGAAACAATAAAAAAAGAGACACAAATAGCTTAATAAAAGAGGATATTTCCTAGCTATAAAATTTTCTAAATTCACAGAAATTTTGAAATTCCAATTAAACAAATCTGTGATATTGATCACTAAATATGAAAGGCATCACTTCTCGACCCAAGGTTTTTTGAAGTACAATGACCAGAAATTACAACATATTTATATAAAGTGAAATTATAACCATCCAGTTCTATTTAATTTTACTAATATAATACCACTTTTTAATTTTAATATATAATAAAGTAACTATTTAAAATTTAAAAAGAAAAAAATGACCCATGAACTCACTGCACTAATAAAACCACTATTAATATTTTTTTTACTACTATTAATATTTTAAAATACTTCTTTCCAGTCATTTTCCCTGGCCATACCTGACCTAACTGTAATTAAAATATCCATAACACAGGCCCTCCCTGGTGGCGCAGCGGGTTAAAGCACAGTACTGAGAATCTGAAGCCACTTCCGCATGAGTTCGATTCCCGCCTGCCGCCTGCCCCGGAGGAGACCACATGGCGAGCCAGACCTCTCCTGACCCGCCCGCTGCTCCCCTCAGCAGTGTACTTCGTCGATCTGCCTGTTCTGCTCCCCACTCTGTCTCTGGTGAAGCCTCTCACCGCCCCTGAGCCTCTGGCCTGTACCCCAGTTCTGTATGAATAAATAAATAAATCTTAAAAAAAAAAAAATCCATAACACAGAACACATAGAGATTTTTCCAGCTAATTTCTTATCAGTTACAGTCATATATTTTTACAATAGTAAATTATTCAATGAAAACAAAGAAGAGAAGAACAAAGGGTTGCTTAATATGGTTTACCTCATAAATAGGAAGTGTAGGAGAGTTCCATGCATTGATTCTTGACTCATTGACATCAACAACTGTTACCCTGATTTTAGGGCACATATGAGCAATGACACTACATGTGGGTCCTCCAACATAGCCAGCACCGATGCAACAGATCTTCTTAATTTCAAACATGATGGTACTAAAAGACAAACAGTAAGACTGTTATACTGTAAACAGGAAATAATAAAGAAATCACACTACACATTCATCACACTTCATAAAAACTGTCTGGTGACAAATGCTGGGAAAGATTTCCTACACTCATATTCATTAAGAATTATGAAAATAGGCCCCCCCCCCCCACACAGCGGGTAAAAGCACAGCACTAAGAAGCTAAAGCCACTTCCGCATGAGTTCGATTCCACCTGCCCCCCCCCCAGTGCACAAGAGGTTAAAGTGCAGCACTGGAAGGCAGCTGCTTCAGTGCCAGTTGGGTCCCTGCCCTGGAGGTGACCCACATGGCTCAGCAGACCTCTCCTGATCTGCTGCTGAGCCCCTCAGCCGTGTACTTCACCAATCTGCCTGTACTGCTCCCCACTCTGACTCTGGTGAATCCTCTCACTGCCCCTGCATGTCTGGCCTGTACCCCAGTTCTATGTGCATAAATAAATAAATTTTTTAAAAATTATGAAAACAGTGATGAAAAATTAGCGTTCCAATTAAATGACCTGCCTGTTCTCAGCTGCACTAGCATGAAACATGGGGCTGGAGGAGGAGGTCTGGGGAGGGGGGAGGACATTAGAGTAACTGATATTATTGGAGAAGAGCCACAAAGATAATGGCATCATATCTAGAAAATCAAGAAACAAAATAAAGCCTTATTTATATCTCTAACATGCCAGCAAATGTGAACTTTGAGGGAAAGTTCAAAGGTGAACATAGCAGTGCACCTGTTAGAATAAATGCTGGTGTACAACGACCAAGGTTACAACAGGCTTAGACTAACAGGGCAGACACTGAGATTAGTTCCATAGTCCAGAAATGGCCTCTAGACTATGCTCCCTATGCAATTTGCCTTTAGCAGTTTATTCTTAGGTACTTGATAATGTAGTGAGAAACCATGACGTACTTAAAGCAAAGTAATTCCTGCAGTTACCAAAGCTGTTATAGAAATTTTGATAAATTTTTCAAAAGTCAATAGATGAATACTCATTAATGAAAATAAGCAACTACATATATAACAATGTCAGTTTAGTCATCATAATGAGAAAATGAATTGTGAAACTGATCAGTCTTAAAATTTTAGTCTTTATCAGCCCTCAGGCATCATCTAACCCACTTATGAATTCCAAAAAGGGGGGAAAAAGGCAGTAAGTTTAATAATGTGTTAATATACTCCAGAGCATGGATCAGAGCAGATATTCTGGAAGGCTGATCTAATTACTAGTTCTACTAAGTCTGTATTACATAAAAATATAAGTGCATAATGAAGATGATACAATTCCTTTAGGTCTGAACTTGCATTAATAAACAGTATCTAACCTACAGTGGTTTTGTGGGTAGAATTCCCTTCTGGAGGAGAATGAACTGACCAACCCATATACAAATCCTGGCATGCATTACAAGAAAGTTAAAATGGCAATCATTTAGTAGTCATGATTAGTAGATCTCAATTCATACCAGTCTGATCTCTAATAACTTCTCAAAACTAAGAGAAACAGAATTTTAGTACAACAATAACAATAAACATAACTTAGAGCTAATGATTCTATGTCTATGAAAGAAAGCAGCATTCCTAGTGCTATGCATAGAGAAAATAAAAAATTTTTAGTTTTAAATACGTAATACAGTCATATGGTTCAAAATTAAATCTGTGTAACATGGTATACAAGAATTCTCACGCTATCCCAACTCTATTAACCCCTTCGTTGCTTTCACAAGGAACCCCTTTATTACTTCCTCGGTAGCCTTCCAGTGTTGTTTTGAACAAATACATACACATTATATATCTATAAGTATTTATATATAGAAACAATCTATTCAAGGGGGCAAAAATACCATATATACCATCAACAACTGACATTTTTCAGTTAATCCACTCTGAAAATCTGTCCTTTTTTAAAAAAGAAAAGAAAAGAAAAGCAGTTAACTGTATTCCAATGTGTGGATGTACTTGACAGGAAATATGTACTTGCCATGGTAAATGTGGTGGAGTTTCTCCTTAATGACCTAAGTAAGTGAGCTAATAGTTTCCTATTATCACTTGTGAAGCCATAAAAACATGATAGTCTTACCAAATTTTCTGAATTCCAATATTCAACTCAGCAATATTCAGCTTGGCAAAACTTACTTTTTTTAAAAAAAAAGATTTATTTATGCATGCATACAGAACTGGGGTTTAAGCCAGAGGTGCAGGGGCAGTGAGAGGATTCACCAGACACAGAGTGGGAAGCAGAACAGGCTAACTGACAAAGTACACTGCTGAGGGGAGCAGCAGGAGGGCCAGGAAAGGTCTGCCGCACCCTGTGGGTCACCTCCAGTGTCGGGGATCGAACTCACACTGAAGTGGCTGCAGCTAGTTTGCAGTGCTGCACTTAAACTCGTTGTGCCAGCAGGGAGGACCAGCAAAATTTACTTTTGACAACCATCCATGTAGTCTTTCTTCATCCACTAATCTTCAGTTTTGCCCTTTACCACTGTCTAGGCATCCTGCACTCCACACACAAGGAGAAAGGGAACTTCATGGGAGGAAGATACTGCACTCAGGGGATTGTTTTCCTGAAAAGGCCCCAGTTATGGGAAGGTCAGATGAGCCTGGAGTGTGGCTCTGTCCCCACCTCTAAGAACAAAAAACTTGGCATATGGCTTTAGAAAAATTGCTGCATACCTGCTGCAGGTTTGTTCCCTTCTCCTCCACAAGAAATTAATACTCCCAATTTAAGAGTCTCCTATGTGGGCACTGAAAAGAATTTGGCGAGAGGTTAAGTCTTGACATTCAAGTAGTAAACAATTTATTCTGATATTATCTCAACTGAAAACTTAGTAATGGCCTTCGCTGGTGGCACAACACATTAAAACACAGCACTGCGAATCTATCAGCAGCTGCTTTGGCATGAGTTTGATCCCTGGCCAGGGAAGTGACCCACATGGTACAGCAGACTTCTCCTGTCTTGCCCACTGCTCCCCTCCGCAGAGTATTTCAGTCCATCTGCATGTTCTGCTCACTACTCTGTCTCTGGTGAATCCTCTTGTCATCCCCGCGACAAGAGTTCTGTATGCATAAATAAATAAATATTTTTTTAAAAAGAAAACTCAGTAAATACCCTACTATGTAATAGTCACTATTATTCATTACACTGTGTGGATACAACAGTAAACATGACAATTCCACTCTTATGTAGTCATAATCTAGTAGAGAGCACAGAAACTAATGGTGATCATGACAATTTAAATTTACATGAAAGAGGGAGGAAGGGAGAAGAGAAACAGAGAGGTAATGAATGTATTAAGGATTACTTTAGGTAGGGCAAAGAAGGACTCTCTGAGAAAGTGACCTTTAAGTTGACTTAAAAACTGGAAGGGGGGCCCTCCCTGGTGGTGCAGCGGGTTAAAGCACAGCACTGAGAATCTAAAGCCGCTTCCTCATGAGTTCGATTCCCGCCTGCCCCGGAAGGGACCACATGGCGTGGCAGACCTCTCCTGACCCGCCCGCTGCTCCCCTCAGCAGTGTACTTCGTCGATCTGCCTGTTCTGTTCCCCACTCTGTCTCTGGTGAAGCCTCTCGCCGCTCCTGAACCTCTGGCCTATACCCCAGTTCTGTATGCACAAATAAATAAATCTTTAAAAAAAAAAAAAAAACTGGAAGGGAATTGGTCATACCCAGGTCACATGGTTAATTTACATAAGACAGTATAATCAATTAAATGATAAAATGTTAAAGTCCATAGAGTAAAATCATTGAAATAAGAAAGCATCTACCTTATGGCAAATGGAGAATCTGAGTTTGGCCTAAAGAATAAGTAGGATATATTTTTTTTTTTAAAGATTCATTTATTTATGCATACAGAACTGAGGTACAGGCCAGAGGTGCAGGGGCAGAGAGAGGATTCACCAGAGACAGAGTGGGGAGCTGAACAGGCAGATCAACGAAGTACACTGCTGAGGGGAGCAGTGGGTAAGACAGGAGAGGTCTGCTGTGCCCTGTGGGTCACCTCCCCGGCAGGGATAGAGCTCTCACCAAAGCGCTGTGGTGGCTTGCAGTGCTGAGCTTTAACCCTCTGTGCCACCAGGAAGGGCCAAAGTAGGCTATATTTTTTTTAAAAGGCAAGTGGGTTAGGATATTTCAGATGAGAAGAAGGAAATAAATAATAAAGACACATAAACATGAGAACCAAGACGTGAGGACAGATCTAATTGGCAACGAAGTAGATACCAAGCAAAGGTAATAACTGTCTCCTAGGGAGGAAAAGAAATGAAGGTGGGTTTTCAGGAAATCATAATGACAACATGTTTTGAGTTTATTCAATAATTTCAGGTAACATAGCTGAAAGTGACTATAAAAATCGATGACATTGATGTAGCTAAAATCTAATATACTCCACTGAAGGAAAGGAGTATTAGCAAAGGGGATGGTCAGTTGGGTGCCTGGAAAGAAAGAGTTAAGAGCAAGAATAACAAAGTATTAATTTCACCACCTCCCAGAGAAAAGTGACACCGAATCTGGAAGTCAGAGAGTTCTGGTTTCAGAGAGGTGGGGCGAGAAAAATTTTCCCAAAGCTGGGATGACAATCCCTGAAAACTGGAGTATTTTGATTCTACTATCGCTTGAGAATTCAGATTCCAAGAAATCATAATACTAGAAAGGAATGATCTGGATTTGAGATACAAATATTTTAGCCACTAAAACTTTTCCACTGTAATAGCATTAGTGTATCATCTGTCGCTGATGAACTTAATTACTTCAAGTTAATAACCAAAGTCTCATTAGCTTAGAGTAAAAAAAATATCTACCTTCCAGATATGCTAAGTTAATGATCAAGTCCCGAACTATGATGAACCTGAAGAACTACTACACTAACACACTGGATAGCCAGACACTCTCGCTCTCTAAAACCAGTTTCTAAGATAACTAAAAAGCATACTCTCACAGTATTTGGATCAGCAGATCTTTGGGTGTTACCACATAATCCCACAGCCAAAGGCTATTTGGAAAACCCAATGTCATCAATCTCCACCATAACAAGATCTGCTAGCATTCATACAATAAAAATGGATCGAATGTCTACATGATGCAACTCTTGAGTTCCAAGAGTTCACAGTAAATAAAGTGCTCCCAAGCTAACAGTTCTTACTGCTGCTCACCTAGCACCTTGATACAAATTAATCGAATGAATGAGTATCTCCCCATAAGGGCCTATCTTTTTTAGATGAAGACTGATACATCAATAGACTTAGCTTGAATGGCTAATCATAGTATCTTCCAGAATCCTATCACCTTTTCTTGTCTCACAGGAACTTCAGCATCTCTTCCCAGAATTACGTCTTATCCACCTTGACTTCCTGGCTGTACTTGACTTGTCTTACCTATAATAGCTAAGGTATACTCTTGGTAACAGGTAGACCAGTATTACGGCACTGCCTGGGCTTGGGGATATTTCATTTTTTCCTATTAAATATGGTTTGTAGATGACCCAATGGGAGAAATTACTGAAGATGTGAAAATCAAATTATCACTGAGAAGTTTCTCTAAAATCCTCAACAAACTTTAATATAAAAGGTATTGATGCAGTTAATGATACAATTTTCTTGACACATATATCTTCTGATTCCATTTGTTATTTCAATTTTTATGTACTTTCTAACCCTCCACTATGCTGTCAGGGAAACAGGAATGTTTTCTTACTGAATGAGCCAGTTTGAAATAAATTTTTACTTCTGTACTTTGGGAAAGTCACAACAAACCAGGCCATTCGAAAACTACTCTTCATCTAAAATTTTTTGAGTTCTGATCAATATTTCAAGCTAGAAGGCTAACAAATAAGGGATTTCTTACTACAAACTAACTGAATCTAATTCCTCTACTCTTCACCCCTCTTCAGTATACTCTCCATAGCTACCCAGCATTAAGGCAATGGGTTTATAGCTGGATACATCAACGCCACACATCATCTTACTTATTTCCAAAAATTAAATACTGGGAGATGACCAACCCAGGGGGAAAATTTTAATCAGCAAGAAAATGTTAAAATTGTATGTAAAGAGCTTCATTCATATAAAGCTGTGGAAATACAAGCGGGAAGCTGGAATATACCATTAGATATAGGTTTTATGTCCGAGAAAGGAGTTCAGCAGTGGGAAAGAGAAATGAGATTCTTTCTGTGAGAGTTGTCCACCACTTATTTACCTTAAACTAGTTGCTGGGTCATTAACAAGCACAACTCAAAGAAGACAGTAAGCTCTTTCATTTCCAGAAGCCCCCTGAGAAACAGACCAGACTACTGTTCTCCATTTCTTAGGGGATCTGAAGAAACTCAAAGGCTCACTGTGTCTTTGAGGTTAGTCAATGGACAGCTACTTCTCTGTATATTGGTGAATAGCTCCCTACCCGTGAATCTCTTTTTCCTATGTGCCAGAATTCTCAATCCTACTCAATAATCTTCCTTTATATAGAAGGTATAGTATTTCAAGGTCTCACACAAACTTGATCTCCTGAAGCACGCAAGAGGGGCCTTTCCTAACATAAAATGGAGCCATTATATGGAGTGGCAGTCCATAAGGTATTAGTACGTAATGTGTAGGATGCGGCTCTCAAATGGGCTTTCTGGCTTCGTTTTCTGCATTAGTTTCTCAGGAAGGATGGTCAATGATGTGAGAAAAGAAAGCAGCAGGCCCCGAAGGGAGCAGACTCCCAACACTAACAAAAGACGATGAGCATGAGACCAAAATGGGGTCCCTCACCCGCGGACCACCCCTTCAATGCAGAGTCAGCCTTCTGGAGCGCTGCAGAAATCTCTCTGTTTCAAGTCAAAAAGTGGAAAAAGGCAGAGTAAAGCGGTTGGAAGACCCGCGAGTCTGGAATAAAAAGCTCAAGTTATCCCTTGCCCAGAACAGCAGATTCAAACGACGGTTCCCGCCTAGAGCCCAGGAGGAGCTGGGAGTAGTGAGAGGGGGAGCCTGGAGGGAGCTCAGGCAGCAGCCAGGAGAAGCGCGCACTCGCCCGCCGAGCGCCGTCCACATCCAGCCGGACCGAGCAGCATCCCGCTGCGGTAGCAGGGGGAGCCCAGGTGAAGGCGCTTACCCGCTTCCAAGCACCTTGCCGGGCGGCCGCTCCTCTCCGGATAGCTCGGACAGCTCCTAGCTTGGGCCGCGCCGCTGCAGCTTCTGCACTCGCGCCCGGTTCCGCCAGATCTCCCCTTACAGAGCGCCCCTCCCTCGGGCTGCAGACGCTCGGCACCCCGAGTCCCGGGCCGAGCCGGTATTTAAAGGCTTCAGTCCGAGGAGGGGGGGGATTCATTCCTTAGCTGCCAGACCCTCCGCATCCCCGCCCTACCTCCGGCCCCCATTCCTGCCCGAGCCAGCCTCGGGGGTGGGGCGAGACTAATCGTGGCTGGAAAGACAAATCCGCTCCGGCCAGCTCAGCGGCCCCGCCCCAGAGCGCAGCGGCGATGGGCGGGCCTGCGTGCGCGCCGGCTTTCTAGCGGCCCTCGGGGCTAGGGGTCCAGGCAGGCATCCTGGTTCTGGTGGCACTCGCAAATCGGTGGCCCAGCCGTGAAGTCTAGACCCGGTTTTCATGACGGTGGGCGCTGAGGTGGGGCTTTGCGCGCGCCAGGTCGGCCAGACTCGCGTCGCCGGGTGTGGTCCGGGGGACCGGAAGGTCCCGGCCCCCTTCCGGTCTCCCCAGCAGCCTGCAGAGTTTGCCTGGCCTTCTGTACCCCTGGACCCTGCAAGTCACAACCAACCTGCACGCTCCAGACCCCTGGGTCCTCCGCGCCCTTCCCGCACTCTCCAGACCCCTGGGTACATCACGCCCTTCCTGCACGCTCCAGACCCCTGGGTCCACCGCGCCCTCCCCACACCCTCCAGACCCCTGGGTCCACCGCGCCCTGCGGGCCTGCGGCCCAGGGTTTAGTCAGATCCTGCCTGACCCTCAGCTTCTGGGAAGAAAATGCCTCACGTCTGGAGAATACGTTGTTCAGTCATGACTGAATCAGTGGGTGTCCCTGCCCAGATCCCTGGCTGAGATGGAGGGCCCACGTCCCTCTAGCTTGTTCTTCAGTTACTCCTGCCCAGTTTGGCCTCTGGGATGTCTGGGCATGAAACAGCAGAGAGGACACTACATACAAGTGCCGCGTATGAGGAAGCGTTCGATGAATGCCTGCCAATTTTTAATGTGAAAAGCAGCTGTTTCTTTTTCCTTAGTCCAAGGTCGTCTTAAACCCCCCCAAAAAATTCCACAACAAACCGAACACACAGACATGACTTTTCTGTTACTCTCAATAATTACACCAGGTGACATAATCTGTACTTGAAGTCAGGATCATTTTTAAATACGTCATAAGGAAAGTGAGTAGTAGTTTATAAAGGCACATTTTAAAATACCATCTAGATGATCGTTTTCTTAAAGGGATGATGATGATCTAGGAAAATCGTTGTATGTTGATTAAACAGTTTGCTGTGAGTTATAGAAAGGGATCAGCTAGATATGCGTTGAACACTATCCATTAAATTCATCCCACAAATACTTAATTTAGCCTGTTGAGTGTTAGAGACTGAAAGTACAAAATGGATAAAGTCCCAGCTCCTTCCAAAACAAAGCTTAGTGGGGTAAATGAACATGTCTTTTTTTGAACTAGGTATATACATAGATCGGTTGCCTATATTCTGAGTTCCCTTTATTTTTAATAGAACATTTTTCTATTCACATTTACATTCGTTGTGTTTTGGTGATACCATAATCTTTAATAATCAATAGTTTCTCAGAAATTAAATCATAGTTTCAGTAGGAGCTCTCTAGAATATTCTCAAGAATGTCCCAGGGACCTCTAACAGTAACCTCTCATGGGCCCAGGAGGACGAAACGTTTCCATGATAAAACTGTTACTTGCTTTTTTTTTTTAATAATTTTAATTCTTTTACAAGTGTATGATGCTAGTTTTTTAGTTACTATAACCTGACATATATGCAGTTTCATAAGAAGGTAAAACATATGCAACACTGAATACATAAGTGGAAATGATGGAAAGGCTTATTCTATTAAGGTTCCCAGTAAAAGATATATAAAAATGTAGAATAGTGCCACTATTATAAGAATATTAACATATTTGGGGTTGGTAGTTTTAAATATTTGATACTTTTGAATGTGTTTTAATTCTAGACTTAATATTTATACCTATAACCCATATAAGCAAAAGCCATTTGGGATCTCAAATTTGTTAATCTTACAAGCTATAGGTATGCTATAGCCTCTGGAATATTTTTATTTGTAAACAAAGCTAAAATATGAATGTTTATCTTAATTTAAGATAGCTTATTTAATATTTTCCCCAGAAGGCTAACTAAACACTAAAGGCTAACAACACTAAAAATTCTTAGATTATGACAATGGAAGCAGACATTTGAGAATTCAATAAAATTTATGAAGTGACAAAGACGATCAATGTCAGTTCCATTTTTCAACAGAAACACTCTGAATATCTTTGATGCTTTCAGAAATTAGCATCTGAAATTAATATTGGGGGGCACAGGGAATTCAACCTTAACTGTTTCAGTTCCCACCTGTCTATGCGACTAAGTTCTTAAAATTTTGGCACAAAGTTTCTTGATGTTTCCTTGCTTAAACCCTGATAATTTCAGTTTTTAAAAATCTGAGAATGAGATAATCATGTTGTTCAGGGAACATTTTGTTGGGGAGACCATTTCACTAACTATATAAATTGAGATCCTGAACTTTGAAAACCACCGGAAGTAATTGCAGAAACAACAAAAAATAGAATTTAATTTTCTGAGAGGAAATTAGTACTGCAGAGTTACTTAATTAAAACTTACAATTTTACTGAAGATTCAGTTATCTACTGACATGCATAAACTTTAGTTGAAATCATTATATCCAGGAAATTATATATTTCACAATTTTTGCTATTTTATAAATACATATATGCCAGAGATATTTTGCCATTTTCACGTGTATTCAGGATATTAATGATCTTTAGCACCTAGATGCATTCCAGGTGACAGAACAAAAGTGATTTTCACTTTTGTTTTTTTAATAGTTACATGCCTAGCTCCTTTTGATCAACCTGTCTGATCAAATAATTAACACTACTGGGTACTGTTCCCCGACTGCAGATGTCCAATGACTGTATTCTAGAGAGAAATAAAAAAGAAATATCAAAAACACACACAATTGCAATCTTAATTTTCTAGGCATTCTTAGAACCTCTATTTTTAGAAGCTCATGCTGCTATTATGTAAGTATTCTCATTCTCCTTGTAAGTTAAAGTCTCTCTTAGGAACTGCTTTAGTTATGAATAAAAGGTCTTTAAAGAAAACGTTTAATAAAGGCTGTTAACATTTTACTAAACAAAAGACGCTTCTCTTCCCACAAAAGCCAAACAAAAAACAGTGAGTGTTACTAATGTTTTCTATTTATTCATTAATAAAAAGTGCATAGTACAAGCCCTTTATCCCAATCCAAGTACTCAGTAAAAGATTACAATAAACCCTGGATGGCACAGACATGATTTGTTTGGCATGATTTAAACACTTAAAGTCAGCAATTAACATTTAGTATACCACATGACCACTTTTGCTTTGAACAAAGTAATCATTAGACATGGTAACAAATACGTATGATTTTTTATTCAGGAAATGTTAAGCCTAAACCTACTATTGCAACAACAAAAATTTAACCTATTAACTGTAAACTCTCTTCATTTCTCCAAATTGCTGTTCTGTATCAAACTGAGCCGATCAAATTTTAGCACATATTTAGAGTGACAAACATTCAGAGTTTTGGGCTTCCAAGGTTCCTTTGAAAATGTCAGTTTATCAGTAATTCCATACATCCTATCATTTTACATACCACAAAGACAATGAAAGTAATCATGGAATGGCTGTTGTTTAAAATATGACTTGCTAACCATGGGATAGTGTTTGGAGAGATAAATGATAAACTTTTACTATACACAGTTCCATAGTTAACTTTTTCCATATGGAAAGAAAAAAAAACACATTATTTGGCATAATAAACATAAAATGACTCTTAAATTTAAATGGCATTTGAGGAATGTTTTAGAGCCAAAATAGATTCAAACATGATGCATCATGTTTCTTCCAGATTTATTTTTCTTTTAAATGATTGTAGTTAAAGTTCAGGCAAATGTAAGTAAGTCAAATAATAAAGTGTGCTCAATACAAGGCTGTACGTAGAAGCTTTAAAATTAAATAACACTATAAATTACTAGCTAGGTTAATAGGAAAACTTTATGAGCAGTAGTACACTGTCTTTGTCAGGAATGCAGAGATACTTTACAAGAAAAAAATCAAGAACAAATATCTCTTTAAGAGCTTTTGTTACTAATTAAACAAATGGTCCATATAGAAAAATATTCTAGATGTCATGTTAACTAAATGTATGTGACGGAAATGAAATAGGAATAAGAATCCAGATTTCCAGCTAACATTACACGTTCTGTTTCATGTCATGGCTACTTCTTCAATAAATTCAATTCTCAGTTATTTGTGAGTTCAAGAGCCACTGAAACGTCATTATTTCTGCCAGAGATTGGCTTTCCAGCTGCTTAGAAAACAGAATGTCAAGACATGTGCAAGCCTTCAAAGTTCAGGGACCAGGACAGAAAAAGGAATGTTTACAGGGATTTTGTTTCATCTTATGCCAGTCCTGCCCTTTGTGTTTCAAATACTTAAACAGCTATAGAAATGGGGTGGCATCCAGTAAGGCTACAGCAAAAGGAAAAATCTTAACTCTATGATGTTCATTAATCTAAGATTTGACTTACCTGTGTTATGCTACACTTCGATTAACGCAAGTTAGGAGTTTGTTATATTATTTCAAGAAATTGAGCACAAAAGCCAAGATGCACAGGAGGATTGCAAGCAGTTAATATTTGAACTACATAATGAAGTCCTTACAATGATTATGGCTTAGAATGTAATTATAATAAAGGGGGAAATAACTACAAGCATTACACAATTTTATCAGAGACTATTAAATAGTACAATAACAGATAAGTTTATTCAATTCATACAAATTTCTGAGATCTATACAACGAAAATTTTGACTGATCTAGGGGAAACTCATTATACACTGACAGCAAACTATCCTCTAGCTCCCATAAATTATCTGCAATCACTTGCTAGGAAATAATTCCATAACCATACAGGTTACACAGACTTTTTGGATGCCATTTGTATATATATTTTTGTAACTGAGCAAAGCAAAGCAACCTTTTACTTTTTTATACATTCCAAAATTTTACTTAAGCTGATGCTACTTCCCATCCCAATTCACCCCATTACCAAACAAGAATGAAGTAAGGAGTGAGAAAAATATCCTTGATTTCTTCTCATTTTCCTTAGAGTAAACCAAGAATTTGTTAAATATTTTTAAAGTCAGAAAGGTAACAAAAGACTCAGATTTTTTTCTTCAAAGAAAAAAACAGTAAATAAGGCATTCAATGACAGTAACCAAAGAGGCCCCCCCAAACATCTTTAAGATAGTTTCATTTAATAGGGAAGTGTTATAACAGAAAAGCTTCTTAAGAAGCACCCATTTTAAAAATAAATTAGATCTTAAATTATTACTGTATAGATTATATCTGGCAAAGGCAGAAATAATCAACATGTTCCTTCTTTCATGAAACCATGTAAGGCTCGTGTAGAGTGGATTGCAAATGTCATATAATGGACTTGAAATCAGCCACCATATATAACTCATGTTTATTTAAGTTTTTAATATTAGACTAAAATTTTTATGGGAGTGAAAAATCGTAGTAAACAAGTATTTCTTCTCATTTTGTAGTCACATAAGTGAGTTGTAATTTTAGCTATAACTTACAAAATACTCCAAAGGCTGCCATAGTCCCATGAACTAGAGAAAACTGTCCCTCACAAATAAACTACCAAGGTCAATACAAATACAGTGTAGCTATAATTTTTTTTCATACTATCTCAGATAGCCCCAAATAACTATAAATACCTTTAGAGGGGAAAAAATCAAATTTAATAACTATCAAAACTAAAATATTCAAATGTAGAGATCTCAAATTTCCTTCAATCAGGCCAGAAATCATCACAAGAATTATGATCACAATTACAAACAGAATGAGTGGAATGTTTAAATTTAGGATAACCAAAAAAGCCCCAAGAAATTTTTTAAATATAATCATTTACTCAAATAAACAGTAAATAGGAATGGAGATAACACGAAAAGCAGTAATAAGCTCGCAAGTGAAATTTCTAGAAGCTCATGAAAACAATACCATCCCATATTGCAGATGCAAAAGGAAATGCAGTTCTAACTGGATTAAGAGTACTCTGGTCATCTTCATACTCTGGTCATCTTCGTTCGTTTGGTCGTGCAGATGTTAACTGTTATTTCCTCTTCTCTTATCACAAAATTAGTCCACAGGAGGGGCTGGTGGATCTTGTCCCTGGCATTGAAGAGAGATAAATCACAAAATGACTCCTTCATCAATCTAATACATATAGTAGAAACTCAGTAGCAACACTGTTCCCACCCTCTCCCCATACCAAACTACATACTTATTAGGACTTTACGTTTGTTTTCTCACAAGGGAACACTAAATTAATACTGTGATTCTCCAATACTTCTCCTCTGCCCCCCACCCAAACAAACAAATTTCTAAATTTCCCAACACTTACATTGTGAGGACTGGTTGGTTTTCCAGTTAGGCTGGATCCTCTTAGATTAGGAGGTCTTAGTAGAAACAAAATCACTGCAATAACCATCCAGGCCATCAAGATCATAGTAATACTGGTGCCATTATCACCAGAAGGTCCTGGTACTATAAAGACAAACAGAATTTGTATCTGTAACAAAAACTGACACAATTAATATGATATTGTTAGATAAATATAATTACAATGTTTAAGTAGCTTCAGGGCCTCCCTAGTGGCCTAGGGTTTAAGTCTCTGCACTATCACACCCATGACCTAAGCTTGATCCCCAGCTGCAGAGCTGACCCACATATGGTGTAGAAGACTTCTCCTGCTTTGCTGCTGCTCCCCTTAGCAGTGTGTTTCAGCAGGTCTGCCTGTTCTACTTCCCACTCTGTCTCTGGTGAATCCTCTTACCCCCTGCTTCTCTGGCCCACACCCCACTTCTACGCACACAAAAAAAGTCAACTTTAAAAACTGTATTAATATTAAAATTTGCATTAATCATTTTAAGAGGTACAATCGTACAGTATTACATGTTCAACTTCCCTCCTGTGAGAAAATCTAAATGGTAAATGATATAAAAATAATAATTCAAAGCTTATTAAATGAAGGCTTAAAGAGTAGTGCATTCTTACTAATTTGAGGTAACAGAATTCTTTGAGAATTTGTTAAAAATTAAGGACTCTGAAAATCTGTATACACATTAAACAGAACCCAGGCTAAGACCACCTGGTATACAGTAAAGATACTGCTTTAGGAAAGAAAAATTCTGCATTTTAATTATGAAAGCAGCATGAAAAAAATAATAGAGTTTAAGGGAAAGACAATATCTGGGTTGAATATTACATAAATTAAAGATCCCTTTAAAAGATATTCTTAACAAAAGAGATATTTACCTTTTTTTTTTGCAAAAAGGGGGTAGATTCATATTTTTTTATATATATATATTTTTAAAAGATTTATTTATTTGTGCATACAGAACTGGGGTACAGGCTAGAGGCTCAGGGGCGGTGAGAGGCTTCACCAGAGACAGAGTGGGGAGCAGAACAGGCAGATGGACGAAGTACACTGCTGAGGGGAGCAGCGGGCGGGTCAGGAGAGGTCTGCCACACCATGTGGTCACCTCCGGGGCAGGCGGGAATCGAACTCATGCGGAAGCGGCTTTAGATTCTCAGTGCTGTGCTTTAACCAGCTGCGCCACCAGGGAGGGCCTAGATTCATATTTTAAAGTCAATGCACTTATTAACAGATCCTTGAGGAGCCATCATAGTTTATTTAATTTAAATCACAGTGCCTGATTCAAAAAAGATTTAAAAGATTTTTTTTTGGTGAAGAATTTTAGAAAACTTGATTAGAAATGAAAATTATTGAAGATTAGATTTCTAAAGAAAAATATAGCATCTCTAAATAGCCACTGAAATAACCTGTCATTATACTATTGAGAGGAGCAGCTGGCGTGACTGCTGTGCCATGTGGGCAACCTTCCTGGCCTCAAATCAAACAGTCACTGAAGCTGCCATGGCCAGCTCGCAGTGCTGCACCACCAGGGAGGGCCCCCAAATAAAATAAAATTTAAACAAGGCTCTCAGCAAATTTTTTCATTGAATGCTATACAATGGGGTGAGAGGGAATTGGTGAGTTTGACTAAATAATTATTCAAGCTCTAAAGTTTTGTGTTTACATTTAGATTAAGGAAATGAAATTTTACTCACAGAAATCAGTCTATTGGGTTAACAGGTGGAACTGGCTCAAAGGTCACTACTACCACAAATATAATAAACATTTGTTTCCCCAGAAGGAGGTTCAATAAGACTTTCAACTAGTAGAACAGGTTTAACTTTACCCACTGAGGCAAAAGTTTAAGCTGCTTATCAAAGGGCAGACCATAGATTAATGAATGCTAGTGAAAGAGCAACAAAAATTTGGAGGGAGCTACTATTCCTTATCCCAACAACCTAACACAACATCTGCACGTTATCATTACCATCTTGTCCAGAAGTGTATCAGCCATGGACTATGTTTTGACAAAATTTCTTCTTTGGGCTAGGTAATGTTCTCTGAGTTGCTGTGTTTACAGGATTTGATGGGACACAGTTCACAGTACTAACCATAATTAAAAATGACAAATCCCTTTATAATGGTGTTTTAATAATGTGTTTTTGTTTATTTTCTTATAAGTGATAAAGTGGAGCAAGGCTCTAGAAATGTTAAGCATAAGCAACCAGCTTATTAATAAACACAATTTGGCAATATGTCAACAGTCTTAAAATGAGACTGCATGAGAAGGTATTTGTTCAAGTATTGTTTATAATAGCAAAAAAAAATCAGCAACCTAAGAATCCAACAAAAGAGAATCACTTAAATACTACTGTACCCCACATTTAGTAAATTTTTAAAAAACTTTATATATACTGATATATTCTAATAGTGAAAAACACAAAGGGAACCCATTTTTGTAAGTGTATGTGGAATCTAGCTGTTCCAGGCTTCATCATCCTATGCATGTAATTTTCACATTCAAATGGCACAATATTGGTTGGGCTTTCATGTTAGTTCCTCATTACCCTCAAAGTATACCTCAAATTACTTCTGTCCTGAAAAAAGTGGTCTCACAGTCTGTTGGTCACATTCACCCATGTTCCTGTCCTGATCCTCGTTTTATTGTCAGCATTACCCACAAAGCCAAAGCAAGGGGCCTTCCCACTGTCCAAGCCCTCGTGGGAATGACCCTTTGCACTCCCAAAACCAAACATTAGAGAAGAATGACCTCCTTACTCAGAAGTTCTCAGAGCTGACAATGGATGCAAACTGATATTAGGTAAAGAGAGGTGGGATAGATATCCCAGTTCAATGAGCCAAAAGTGCCCAATTACACATTCATTTGGCAAGAAAATGGTGTGAAAGGGTTTATACACCTAGTTATCAAAAGCAGCTATCTTATTATTCTAGAAGTTTGTCCTTTTTTTTTTTTTTTTAACATTTTCTTCAATGACCAGGGCTTATTTTTTCAGCCATGGAAAAATATTTTTCAAGTTAAATATTTATAGTAGAAAAATTATCCTTTAGACCGCTTCCTTAAAAACAAATAGTAAGAATAATTTCTGACCAATATTCAGTCATCGAGCTTCTAAAGCCAAACCACTATTACTTACATTCCTGAAGACATTCTGTGTCTGTGCAGTAAGACTGGGACTGCCTTAACTACAATAAATAAGGAGAAAGGAAAGTTAGCAATCAGATTTAGCCAAAAACGAGCAGTATTTATTAGAAAGATCATGTTTTGTCTTTAAATGAATGCTATGATAGAACATATCATTCCTTCAAAAACAGAATCACGGAATAATTTTCATATAGCTGTGATAAAGGAATTTTTAAAAATCACCCAAGACAGAAATTCCTGCTGTCATACCTTACAAAAGTTACCAAAGGAAAAGTGTTAAACTGTAGAGAAAAGCTACTAGAAAAAGGGTGAAATAAAGCAGATTCTATGTAGAAAATACACCTTTGAGTGGGAGGAACATATTTTTCCCCCTTTTTTATTTTTTATCTAGCAACTAGATAAATAAAGCTGGAGGTTCCTCAAACTACTAATAATGGAGCTTCCATATAACACAGCAATTCCACTCCTCAGAATATACCCCAAAGTCACAGAAACATTACTCAGTGAAATTAGTCAGAAGGAAAAAGAAAAATATTAGATGGTTTCATTGTAGAGGAAGAATATAGGGTAGCCAAACGAGATCAAGAAAAAGAAAAAAAAAAGACAAAACTTAGCAGGCAGCCTATAAATCAGAGACATTCAACAGGGGAGGGGAAAGAAAAGGGATCAAAACGGGAGGGAAGAACACAAGAGACAATGGTGATGGTTCAAGGATATCTTGGTGGTAGTCATTTTATGGGGGTTACACCTGGAGGAGAAATCAAATTTGTACAAAAATTAACAATGATGTAAAAATATATACATTAAAGAAAGAAAATGATCCTTCATGTAAAAATATGCTATGTATCTTAACACTTTTAAATGAGAGGAGTCAATCTGAAACTCTTTAAAAATTATACAATCTAAAAACTAAGGCTACTAGGTGCTTGGGTTACACAAAACATACTGAGCAAACCTCTTAATTTGTATATATTTTTAAGTTCTATTTTTTCCAAAATGCATACATACATACATACAAAATGCAAACATACAAAATGGAAATGCTGTACAAGCTAAATCTCCCAGAGCCTCCTAGTGGTGTAGAGGTTAAAGACAATGTCAAGCTGTTGGCAGCCACTGCTGCAAGGTCCAGTTGATTCCAGGCAAGTCAGGGAGCTAATCCACATAGCGCTGTAGACCTCTCCTGTCTCGCCTTCTGCTACCCACTCTCACTGGAGAATCCTCTCAATACACCCCTCCCCCATACTTCTGACCTATACCTCAGTTTTTATATGTACAAATAGATAAATCTTTAAAAAAAAGAGACCCCAAGGTAGAGCTCCCACTCTCTCCTGTCTTCCCTAGCACTTAGTGTTTTGGTGAATCCAGAAACATCTTTATATTTTTATAAGCATATATATATATATTACCACTACACTTCCATTTCCAAATAGCATTGTAGGGAAGATAAAACAAAATTACTAGCTAAAAAGTTCTCTGATAAAACAAGAATCTTCTAATTCCTTTAGATATCAAATAAAGAGGGCAAAATTACTTTTCTAGCCACTTGATCATCCTGGATTTAGTCTTCAGCAATGACATAGCATTCCCCAAAATCTGTAACTGTACTCTAAATAACCAATACCAGTTTGTACATTACATAACCCCAATGTCAGCCTTGGCTTTTGGGTATACCTCTGGCTGAAGTGTTGTCCTTGACTGAACATCTGACATAGTGGCTTTATAGCTCAAGGATATCTACAAAATAACAGGACTTTTATGTGAAAAATCCAAAAACATTTTTACATCCATTTTCTCACAAATCTACTTCCACATAGGGCCATGTCACTAACGCTAAGCTCCTTCTTCATGCTGGCGTCAGTCCTATCCTCCTTTCCCAGTGCAAGCCCACCAATGCTCACCATGTTTTTTTCTCCTGCCTGTTACGATGTTTGGGTTTCAACCCAAACTTTTAGTGTACTTCTCCAATGAAGAGGCTTGAATTTGCAGGTGAGGAGCTAACTTATTATTAAGTACCAGCTACTAATTCTAAATTCTTAATAACAATTCTATTCTACTTCACAATGTACCAAAATTTATATCATAATTTTTAGCTAATATATTATTAGCATGAAACATTCTTTCAACCATGATTTAGAATATTTACAAAATATTCCAGTGACTTGAAATATTGTACAACTGAACTGAAACAAATTCAGAGTAAAGTGAAAATGGCCACACCATATAAGTTACTTAAGAGTCTCTAAAGCCAACACGTTTTCCTTCAGTACTAAAAGAGGTTTTCTTCCTTTGTGTGTTACTAGAGGAGCAGGTTTTACTTTGAACATATGTATTTTTTAAAGATTCATTTATTTATGCATATAAGAACTGGGGTACAGGCCAGAGATGCAGGGGGATGAGAGGATTCACCAGAGACAGAATGGGAAACAGAACAGGTAGATTGACTGAAATACACTGCTAAGGGGTGCAGCAGGCAAGGCAGTAGAGACCTGCTGTGCCATATGGGTCACCTCCCTGACCCAGGAGTAAGACAACAGTAACTGAAGATAGCTTCATAGTGCTATGCTTTAACCCACTGCATCACCAGGGAGAGCCCTGAAGCTATGATTATAAATGGTAGTATGTAATTTGTCCTGCTATTCAACTTTCTAGACAACTAATATGTAAGCTATGTTGAGTCATATGTGATTTCCCTCAGTAAAGCAGACAGGAGACTTGTAGTCAAATTTTGACTCTCAGTAGGGAAGGATAAAGTTTTTAGTTCATGTGTGGTACTGGTCCACCAATAATTAAAATTCCGTGTCAATATTCATTTAAACCATGCTTCACCTTTATATTTTTTAAAACCTAAAAAATATATCACACACAAGAAAGAATAAATTCATGACTTCAGGAGGTCTGTGTAATGGTTTTATTTATCCATATGTAAAACATATACTTTCTCTGTACATGTACTTTCTCTGTACATAGATTAATTTATGCGTACAGAACCGGGGTACAGGCCAGAGGTACAAGAGCAGTGAGAGGATTCACCAAAGACAAAATGGGGAGTAGAACAGGCAGATGTACTGAAATACACTGCTGAGGGGAGCAGCAGGTGGGCCAGGAGAGGTCTGCCAGGCCATGTGGGTCAGACTTGCGCTGCAGTGGCTGCAGACAGCTTCTTAGCACTGTGCTTTAACCTGTTGCACCACCAGGGAGGGCCCCTGATGCTTATTTAAAGAGTACTTTCTTTAATCTTTTTAAAGATTTATTTATTTATGCATACAGAACTGGAGTACAGGCCAGAGGTGCAGGGGCAGTGAGAGGATTCACTAGAGACAGAGCAGGAAGCAGAACAGGCAGAACAGCAAAATACACTGCTGAGGGGAGCAGCGGGCGGGTCAGGGGAGGTCAGCCTGCCATGTGGATCACCTCCAGGGCAGGCAGGGATTGAACTCATGCTGAAGTAGCTCCAGCTTCTTAGTGCTGTGCTTTAACCCGCTGTGCCACCAGGGAGGGCCATCTGCAAATTTTAAAATGTTTAAAATGAATGGGATGGACAACTTTGCCCAAATGCTAATGACTTACTGGCCCCAATAGTACAAAATACTTTCTGGGTTTGAGTTTAAATTACTTTTTTGACCAAAAATCACCAGGCAATTTATGGCCACTAGCAAATAACATATTACTTATATGTTATATCCTTTTGGTACAATCTTCTATATAAGGATATACACAATATGGGATGTCAAAAAATTTGGTATGGCCTATGGCTACGTGAGCAACAATGGTCATGAGGTAGCTGAAGTGGAGGGAAGTAGCAAGGGGAACCTTGATACTGTATTTCTACTATATTCTATATATTTCACATATTCTGTATTTCTCCAGTTGTCAATACTTTAGTCATATATTGTCTGTGCTATTGAAAAGCAAATTTCTAAAATCATAACACTTAGAAAAATGAGGCTGACTTTGATTTGTTATAAACGGAATGTTTAGATCTCTAAATTTGTGTGTGGAAATCCTTCATAAGATGGTATTAAGAGATATGGGTGTGGGGATGGTGGGGGTCTTTCAGAGACAATTGCAGGGTTCCATGAATTTGGAACCCTCATGAATGAAATCAGTACTTTAATGAAAGAGTCCTCAGAATGCTTTCTTCCCTTCTCTTTGCCATGTTAGGAATACACAAGTACATGACAATCTGCAATGTAAAAGAAAGCTCTCACTGTAACTCAACCATGCCAACACCGTGACCCCTGACTTCGAGTCTCTGGAATGGAAAGAAATATAGTATCTGTTTCTACATTACCCAGTCTTACTTTGTTTTAGCACCCTAAACTAAGACATCTGCTAATCTGAAAAGATAAAGTGAAAAATCAAGTTGTAGAAATATATATATGCTATGATTGCCCCTATGTTAAAACAAATTTCTAAAACTATATGTAGTAGACTACATTTTCTACAAATAGCAACATCATATTTCTGGTCACATGTTCTCCTAGAATCTTCCACTCCCAGTCAAGAAGTGGAGTCTACTTAAATTCCTCTTGAATTTAAGCAGACTTGTAACAGCCATAACTGAGAGTATAGCAGAAGGAATGGATGAGGCTTCGGACACTCAGTCCTAGGAAATACCCAGATGTTGCTTGGTTCTCTCTCCCATGTCCTCTCTTGGGATGGAGGTCTGCCTTTGGAACCAAGTCACCATGCTGTGAGGAAGTCAAACAGTCAAATGAAAGGGCCATATATAGTCATTCTGGCTAACAGCACTAGGTAGGGTTTCAGCTACTCACTAGCATCCACAGCTGAAGAGTGAGTAAAACTCCAGATGCCTTCCACTCCCACTTTGTCTTCCAATTAAGAACCCAGACATTGTGCATTAGATAAGCCATCTCTGTGCTCTCTATGAACTCCAGATATATAATTTGTCAGTCTAATAAAAATTGCTTTATATCACTAAATTTTGGGGTAATTTGTTACACAGTCATAATAACTGGAACAATATGAAAGAAACTCCTAGTAGTTTTTATTCAGTGAAGTGGCAACAAGGGGCTGG